TATTATCGAAGCAAGGAAAAGTATTAGAATAGACCTTAACAAGGTTAAGGCTATTAAGGAGTAAGAGGCACTTAAGATAGTAAAAAGCGTACAATTGTTCTTTAGTTTCGCGAACTTCTACTAAAAGTTTATTAAGGACTTCGCTAGAGTAGCTGCTCCTCTTACTCGCCTAACAGGTAATGTAAGCTTTACCTAGGGACTAGAAGAACAAGGAGCTTTTAACAAGCTTAAGGAGGTCTTTATTACTAAGCTAAACTTAGCGACTTTCGACTCTAAGCGCGATACAGTTCTAGAATGCAATTCTTCTAAGTACGCAGTAGGAGGAGTACTCTCTTAGTACAACAATAAAGGTGTACTACGTCTTTGCGCATACTTTTCGAAGAAGAACAACGCTCACGAGTGCAACTACAAGATCTACAACAAGAAACTGCTAGCTGTTGTCTGTTGTTTTAAGGAATAGGACGCTAAACTGCGTTTAGTTAAGAGTTTTAAAGTAATTACAGACTACAAAAACTTTAAATACTTTATAAAGCTAAAAATGCTTAGTAAACGCTAAATCTAATAGGCTGCGTTGTTAAGCTAATTTAACATAGAAATCTTATATTAACTAGGGAAGCAGAACGTAAAGGCTAACGCGCTTTTAAGAAGAGAGCAAGACCTACTTAAGGACGCTAGAGATAAGCGCCTCTAGAAGTGTATAATACAAGTCCTAAAGCTAACGCCCTAGTGCTACGAAGAAGTTAGTAAGGAGCAAGAGGAATTGCCTAGCAGCTAGGTAATGTCAGCGAAAATACGCGTAAGGAGGGTAGGCACACCCCTTAGTCTAACTAAAGAGCAGTTAGAGTAACAAGACTTAAGCGTAGGCAATAAGGTACCTAAGCAACTAATAGAACTAGAAGATCTAGTTAGCTAAGAAGAGGACCTTGCCTAAGCAAGTAAATTAGAGAAGCTGTAGCTAGAGGCCTTAAAGGGAGATCAGCAGTATAAAGACGCTACACAAGCTGTACTAGACTAGGAATAGAGGTTCTTACTTAGCTTAGGCGTAAAATGCTTAATTATAGAGTGCTTAGTTAACGACTAAAGACAGTTACTATATTAAGGTAGGAAGTAAGTGCTAAACAGTAAGAACCTGCGCACTTAAATTATAAGCGAGGTTTATAACTCTCTTTTAGCTAGTTACTTAGGCAGAGAGATTACCTACAAGATAATAGCCTAAGACTTCTTCTAGCTAGGAATGTTAGATAGTATTAGACGCTACGTTAGGAACTGCAATATCTGTAGGAGAATAAAACTATAGAGAGAAGGCACCTAAGGGTTCCTTAAGCTGCTACTAATACCTAATTAGATTTAGAAGGAGATATCTATAGACTTTATTAACAGATTACTCTTTAGCGAAGGCATAACCTGTCTTATAGTTGTTACTAACTAATTAAGCAAAGGCGCGATCTTTATCTTACTACCTAACACTAAGACAGAGATAGTAGCCTAAGCGTTTATTAGGCAAGTAGTAGCATACTATTAGTTACTAGACGCTATTACATCTAATAGAGGGACTTAGTTTGTTAGCGTACTATAGGAACGTTTTTGCGAGATCCTAAAGATTAATTAGCAGTTGTTAACAGCCTTCTACCTGCAGACAGATAGCGCAACAGAACGAATAAACAGCGTATAAGAAGCGTACATTTAAGCGTTTATTAGCTAGTCGCAAGACAACTAGGCATTGTATTGCCCTATAGCCTAGATCGCTATTAATAGGAGGGACGCGACGTTAACAAGAGTAGCTCTGTTCTTCTTACAACACAGCTACAACGTTAACCTACTGCAATTAGGAACACCGCTTAGCGCTAACAGGAAGAAGTACACAGCTAAAGAACGTTTAGACTGCGAGAAGGCAGAAGCAATTGTAGCTAAGTTTAGAGATGTGTTTAACTTAGTACAGGCTAGTATAGCTAAAGCCTAGGCTAAGCAAGAAAGACAAGCGAATAGGCACCGCAAAGAGGCAAGGAGCTACAAAGTTAGCGATAAAGTCTAGCTAAAGCTTAATAAGCAGTATAGGACAAAGTGCTAGTCTTAGAAACTTAATTAGAAGAATGCTAAATACACAGTAATTAAGGTAGTTAATAGCTATTTAGTTAAGCTAGATACCCCGCTAGGCTATCACCCTGTCTTCTATGTTAACAGACTACGCCTTGCTAGCTTAGACCCGCTACTAAGCTAAGTACAAGACGATTACTAACTACTGCTGCTGCGAGTTAGAGATAAAGAAGAGTAGGTTGTTAAAGAGATTGTAGGCGAACAGCTAAAGCGCTAGGAGCGTAGTTAGAAGCTGTATTTTAAAGTTAAGTAAGAAGGCTACTACTAAACAACACTTAAACTAGCAGAACTCTTAGAGAACACAGAAGCTCTAGACTAATAAGAGGCTTATACAAGAGGCTTTTAAGACGAGGAGGGACAGTTACCTTAAGAGTTCTGCTAGGACATCTCTTAAAGGAGGAGAGAAGGAGAGTATTGTAATAGGCTAAAGCCTAGTTAGTAAATCCTTAATAATATCTTAGTCACGTGCATAAGCGCACAGTTCGCAGTTAACGCGTCTAAACAACGCTTAGACTAAACCTCTAAACCTTAGACTAAAAGATAATCTAAGCTGCTACTAATTAACCTTTAGGACGAGGTAGCCTACAGTTCTCTTCTCTATTAAATACAACTTTAGTATACCTGTGCGATAGCTCCCTAAGCGTAGCCCCTTACATCTACAGCGTCTTTAAGATAATTCGCCTACTTTAACGCGCGCTTTCTTCTTTACCTTCTTCTTATCGCTGCGCGCCTTAAACTCCTTTAGAGTTGTTAGTTAAAAACCTTCCTCTACTATAAAGGTCCTCTCTTTCTGTACTCGCTTTCTTTTATATAATTTACGTCGCGTAGCAGCCTTGTTAGCTGCTTTAAGCTTAGCGATACGCTTTTGCAACAACACTAAAGTATACGCTATTATCTCTACGCCTTTAGAGAGGCTTTTTACTACTTTAACTATTAAAGTAAGTAAGCTATCTATATACCTCTAAAACCTCTTAAGAACTAGCTTTGTTTAAGACCCTAGTTCTAAGGTATTGCTTAGAGTTTGCGACTACTAGAGACTGTCCTTAACAGTAGGTAACAGTAGAGTACGCAAGCAGACGTTAAGCGTTGATATTACAGCCTCTAGATTAAATAGAACTAAGCTAGCGCCTTAAAAGCCTCCTAGGATATTACTCTTTGTAATAGAGGCCTTGTAGGCGGCAATAAAGCACAGTAAGAACTCTGTTTTTGTAATATAAGTAATCTTGTTGCGTATTAGCTTTTTAGCTTAGCACTTATACGCCTTCTTTAGCGGCGCAAAACAGCTAACGTTAAGCAGCTGCAGTAAGTGCGAGGAGTGTAAAGGCATACAAAGGGTAATAATCTTCTTCTCCTCGCAGAGCTAGTAGAAATTAATTAAGCTATAGCTCTTGTAACTGTTAAGAACTAGCAGGCAGTAGCTACTAACAACCCTCCTCTTTGTATGCCTATTAAAGTGCTCTAGCTACTTAATACTAAGCTTATTTGTCGTCTAGCTGTTCTTAGAGACTGCAATTACTTAGTCTTAAGGTAGGCTCTCCTCCTTATACTAAGCAGAGAGGTAGTGCTTACCTTAGAAGATAATAAAAAGTAGAATCGCCTACCTTGTCGCGTTTATACCCTAGATAGCTGTAACCTACTCTTAGTTACCCTGCTACACTGTCTTTAGCTGTCCTTAACAGTCTACTACTATAACTACTGCGCTAGTTAATATTACGCCTATTATAAAGCTAGTCTTATTAAAGTTATACGTGTTTTTGTCCTAGATGCTGTACTTAGCCTTTGTATTCTGTACTAGGCAGAACTAGCCTTGTATAACCTTAGGATCCTCGCAGAGGGCTCTACTATAGTTATACTTTTAATTAAACTTAACTTTAAGCTTAAGGCGACGCTTTATAAAGTTTGTAGCTTACCTCTTACTAACTAGCTTCTAATTACAAATCTTAAGCAAAGAATTAGCTATCTCTTTAACGTTAGCAAGCCTAAGCAGATATCCTTGCTCTATTAGCTTAAGAACATGCCTAACAATCGCTACCTCTTTAGATCCTCGAAGAGCTATTGATTTAGGCTCACAATCGCGTTAATAGGGCGTTCTAGTAAGTTGTCTTCGTAGTGTGCTTTTAGAGACGTTGTAGGTAGCTGCAGCGCGTCGCAGCTTAAATGTCGCGTCTTGTTAGATAGCCTGTAAGGCAAGCTGTATATTTCTTTCGTTTAAGGTCTTTTTAACATTGTTGCGTTAAGACATTACAAGTAAGCTTTAAGTTTAGTTAGGTCTTAGCAAAAAGGTTCTACTCGCTTAAAGGTTCTACTTGCTTAAAAGTTCTACTCGCTTGTGACCTACGTTAAATAACAACAACAATAAGCTGTAACACTAAAAGAAACTTACAATACAGCAAATAAGCGTAAGCAAGAAGCCTTAGCTAAGCTAGCAAAAAAACTAGCAAAGCGTCGTCGTGTTGTTGCTCTATTAAGCTAGGTAGTTAAGGGTCCGCCTTAGGCGCCCTCCCTACCCAAATTTAGCCTGCACACCCGCCAAATTAAGACGCTAGCGAGATACAAGTAGTGCAAACGCTTTAGTAGCGTCTATATAGTAATACACCAAAAAATCTCACAATAATAGCTTTTGTGGGTGGCTCAATAACCTCATCTTTTTGGTCGTCCGATCTTGGTGGGGTGGCTCGTTGACTGTACTGGCTCGTTGGCTGCGCACGGATAGTAGCACTGTAGCTAAGCCCATTTCGGCAAGGGTAGCTGGTCCAAGCCTTTAAGTGATGAGGGCAACATTGACTGCGGCTGAGCTTCGATTAACAACAAAAGATCCTGTCGTCGCCCTTTCTGTGCTACTGTGCTGTGGTGATTCCTGCATGATGCCTCAGAGTATTCATGACTGGGGTAATGTTGCGCCAGAAATGCCCCGAAGACTCCTTCACGTCCCTACCATGACATCAGTGGAGCTACCACTACCCGGAAATCCGAGGCCAAAGTACAACATACTCTCGTACACTTGGGGCCGATGGAGATCCGTCGAGTTTGATTCCATCAATATAAAGGGAACACCATGGAAGATTCCTGCAGTCAATCCCAACTTTGCCTTCTCTCCAAAACAATTCGAAGATGTCTTGCGTCGTGTGGCCAAAGAAGTCGATTATGTCTGGGTAGACATTGCTTGCATCAACCAGGGGAGAAATCCACAGGATATCGCCGAAGGCATGGATCAGATAGGAAAACAAATGGGGATTTTCAAAGGAGCACATGAAGCGTATGTTTGGTTGCATTGCTCATCGAACAAACAACTTGAGAAGATCGACGAATCTGAAGCGTGTTTCTATGAGTTTGGCTACATGCTTGAGTCCCTGGGAAAAGCAAGGCATACACATTCACATGCAAACCCTTACGACGAAGGGTTGGTCATCGAAACCCTGGATAGGGCCATAACAGCACTTAGGTCGTGGACCAGTGACCCTTGGTTCAGTTCGTTATGGACATTGCAGGAATCAGTGCTCAGGAGAGATGCCATTATTCTGTCCTGCGAAGGCGAAACAGTTCCCCCTGCAGGTAAAGGGACCCCGAAGGAGCTCCGTATGGCAGGAAACTTTCTCCGAAACATCCTGCAGATACTGTGCGGATCTCTCCAAGAAGGTGGAAACTCACCTGTCCTACTGAAGAAGCTATCCGAAGCAAGAGACGAGATTCGCTCAAATGTCCTCGCCTTCATGAGATGCGGCAATCCTAATGTTCCCTTTGGGCTGGCCAAACACCGCACAACTAATCGTGAGGAAGATCGAATCTACGGAATCATGCAAGTCTACGGGCTTAGGCTAGGCAAAACTGTCGAGCCTGACAAATCATTCACTCTCGAGCAATTGAAAGATCAACTCTCCATTCGACTGAATGAGCGATGCCCTGTGGTTGCTCAGATGTTCGTTCACTCGCAGACGCCCCGAGCTGGCCGGAGTTGGCAAATAACACAGGAGTGTTGGGTACCATCTCCATTCATAAGCTGCGAGCTAAGAGCTCGCGAAGCAAATGACTGCTCCGTTTCCGTCGACGCCAACATGCGTGCTGTTATAACGGGCCGCGCTTGGCCTCTCGCCGACATCATTCCAGTTCTGGAGGTCGAGTGGAACTGGGGGAATCTCATATTAGATTGCAATTCCAACATCGGAAACGCAAGTTGGAAATCTATAGAAAGGGGCGACCCCCAAAGTCTAGAAATTGCAGACGAGCGGCTTCGCGAGCGTTGTGACGAGGTTAGGAGAGCTCTATCGAATAGCTTGGACAATGTCTTGCCTGTTGAAGAGCTGATTCTCGTGTACATGGGCCGGATCCAGTCATATGACGAGCAGTCCGTACATCTTGGTCTTGTCTTACTACGTCAACAAGAGTTTGGGAACGGGTCTCACCTGTGGGTGAGAGCGGGTATATGCTCTTGGCGCGGTGGGCTCGAGCAGCTACCTCCAAATCCTATTGGAGGCGACTTTGGTGTGATGTAGTATTTTACTCATGCTGCGACGTGTCCTCCATACGAGAAGAACTGAGAACTGAAGACAGCTTGCCTCATTCGAACATGGAGTCCTCGCTCACTTGTACTAGTCTCCAAAGATTATATCCAGGCATTTAGTTTTGATATAGTCCTCTGGATGACCAATTACGCTACTGACTGTAGAGATGTATTCAAGATACAATGTAGTTCAAGGCAGTGTGTTACTCGCTTAGTAACGCGTTAGATCTGATAGCTTAAACAGCTAGGGTCGTCGTATATTTATCAGGGAACAATTCAAAATCGGATTGTCAAGACATAGTGGTGGATATTCAAAGATTTAAAGACGTATAGTCTTCGTAGAGACAGAAGTTTCGCTTGCCGTTCAAGATATCTATGCTTACATTATCCCTCAGCGAACTATCCAATCTACCGTTTCTGAAGGAAGAGATTTGTCCCAGAGGCTCGTATTTGCAGTGTACCAAGTACCGACTTTAACCATTTCTTTCTCCGAAAACCGATGCATCAAAACACCCATGCTCGTTTCATTTCCTTCGATTGTGACGATGAAAATGGAATCCAATTCGGGCGGTAGCATCGGCAATAGTTCTGGGAGTGTGAGAGCCCTACGAGACTGCCATGGCTCTTCAAATAGCACGCTAGTAACATATATGTTGAACCAAATGTCATACTGGCGACCTTCGATCAGGTCCTTTTGAGTAGCAAGTATCGCAGCCTGGGGGATGTAGACACTCCCGTCCTGCTGGATAGACCAAGACTGGACGGAAGGATGGGTAACGCCGACCTGCAAATCAGCCGACACAAACGGCGCAACCGGAGAGATGCCATAAGGGTTGCCAATGGTACCGCAGAATGGGAGAAGAGACCCACTAGGCAAATTTTCAGGAACGAGACGATCCTCCGGATCACTGTTGGGCCCTGGGTAGAGACCGCAGCTGTAGAAGCTAGCTCCAAAGCGGTTCGCAACCTCCTGTAGAAACTCTCGTGGGTATCTGCCGAGGATCAACACTTCTTTGTAAACCTGGTTCACGAGAGCTTCTTGCAAATAAGCCTGGTACCATTTTGTGCATCCGAGAACCGACATGATGGCGATAGCTCGGCTTCTTTTGCATTCTCGACCGTCAGCGAGTCGAATTATACGGATGGGCTCTCTTGCAACGTCCTGAATCTCTCGTACTTTAGTCCCAAGATCGAGAATCTCCAAGCACCCACGTGGAATTACTTTCCCACGTTCCGACCGTGCATATCGCGTTTCTGTAGAATGCATCTTGTACAACAGGTCGTGCGCTTGTTGACGGTTTTCTGCTGAAATCCATTTTCCTCCAGAACTCTCCGTTTGCACAACCAAATAATCATCCAGAAAAGCATCGAGATGATGGTCTGGCCGATGTGCTATTTGCGCAACGCTGAGAAACGCCATGAGTTGGTCAAACATAATCGGTTCAGTGTCCCGTGCTCTGAACGCCCGCATTTTCTCGTCTAGAAGGAACATGGACGGTCTCAGACAGACTTCTTGCAGAGTCCATAACGACGTGAACCAACTCGGCAAGTGGTGGGTTTTAGTTCCGTCTGCATTCTCCTCTGTGCGAAAGATACCAACAGGATGATTTACGACACAACCCAGCCGCATCATGAAGTCTGGGGTTGCTATCGGGTCCCGCAGTGGTGGGCGCTCAACCGCCAGGGTTTCGTCGTTGATTCTGATTCCGGCCTCCCATCCCGTCGAGTTCAGGTAGTCGAGACAGAGCCATGCCAAAGACCTGGTTATTGGTTCCCAGCTTGGGATATCAGGGCCAAACCAAATGGCACAAGGAATAGAGTTACCAAAGATACAAGTTTGCCTGGCAATTTCTCTTTTGGCAATTTCCGAATCATCCTGAGGAATGCAGAGTAGATCCAGCCAGATGTAACCAAGCCCAAAGTCAGCATCTTCAAGCAATTGTGGGAGTGTCGTGACATCAAATCTTGTGTTCTCGGGTATGAGCCATCCGACACCCTTCAACTTGACCTTGGATGGCTTCCGCCAGCGACCCCATGTGTGACTGATACACATATAGTTGGGCTGTTGATCTCTGAATGTTGATGTCTCGACAGTCATCCTGTTCTTGATATCCCACAAGTAATAAGGTAGCCCAATCTTTTCTTCTGGACTAAGCCAAGGGCTAGTATCGATCCACGCAGGTATATCATGGTTGAAGAGGGAGGGGCTTTCGAGAGGCGCGATAGTGGGGCTTCTAGCGTAGTGCCAGGCCAAACGCTGCGCAGACGCGAACTTGACGGCATCGCTTCGAGTGTCGTACAGCAATTGCGCAAAAGTTGCATCGGAGTTTTTAAGATCCGCACCATTCTTCGTCTTCTTCACTTCCCAACCTTCTTCTGCTATAAACTCCAGGACGAACAATCGTTGAAGCGCATTGTGATAGAGCGACGCTTCAATGTCTTGATCAAAGAAACTCTTTTCCTTCGCCGGATCGAATCCGTGCATTTTAGTCGTTACGAAGCTTCGACCGAAAATGAAGAGTTCTGCAATTCGTTTGCCTCGTTGTCGAACAGAGTATTTGCCTTCCCACCACTCTCCTATAACCTGAAGTGCTTTAATTTGATGACCTGAAAGAGTCCCTTCGAACGTGGCCAAATTCGTCCCAAGTCGTAGGATCCGATACCAGTTCTCAAGGCCTCTTTCGTGAGTCAGACCATCCGCATGTTGGCGAACAAAGTTTTCGATGGCATAGCCAAGTGCCCCAGGCCGGTAAGCATGTGGTCTTTCTATAATGCCTTCGTCATTCATTGCAACGCGGTGTTAGTTGATGATACACAAAGTTCAAAGGTGCCTGGATTGCTGTTATGAGGCGGGGTAGGTCTACCCACATGGTTCTGGAGGAGATATCAGCCCATTTATGGATGGGCTATGATGGCGAAGAGCAGTCACCTGTCAGTAGAGATTATGACGCTTCTTTCGGCCTGTGGTGACAACACTAGGACGTACGAAGCATGGTGCAAAAGAAAACCTGACCTCAGCTCTCAGCCTTGTTACTCTTTACACAGCATTTCAGCTCACAATTTCCTGCGATAGTTTAGGAGCGTCTCAGCCGTACAATAGCTGCATTGCATGCTGCATAAGTCATCTTCGAATCGCCTTTTTCACCACCTGCTAGTTAAGGGCAAGGAAAGAGGCTCATACAGCTTTTGCAGCGGTTAGGGTTTGTCAATCCAGACTGCGATGTCAGAGCAGCCTGTGGCGCTTATGAGAGGCGGCAATTGTAATGACTAGGCAAAGGAAGATGGTCTTCATGTTGACTACGGGGCTGCATCGTTGTTTGATGAGGAGGGGCAGGGCTGAGGTTTAGTCTCATCAAAAAGGGTAGGCTGCCACGCGCCGGACAGAGAAGAGCGCACTCACAAGCTTGGCGCTTTTCCAGGAGCGTCCGGGTCACTCGTTATACTTCTTGACGAGCTGAGAAAGATGCTCGCGATAAAAAAAAAAGTGGTGTGCCAGGTACACTTGTAGGGGAAGATGCGATTAAGTTTGGTGGGTTGCGTAGGTGGCGTCTGTCCAAGCTTGTCAGTACGCTCGTGACACGCTCCTAGGCGGCGATGGTGAGAACGGCACCCTCAGCCTCAAGATGGCTCTTTGCTGTTGCCTTGCTGCTCTCAATGTCCATATTACCATATGCGCATTCCTCTCCGAAACGCTCCCATGGCACAACATACCCTCACTACTCGATCTCTGTAATCATCCAGCACAATGACAGCGGTCGCAGGTGCCCTTGGCTCTGTGATCGGTTACCTTGGTGCAGAAGTCGCCGAACCTACCATCTTCGAACGACTACTATGGCCGCAGCGGTTCTACAACTACGCTTCTCTTCGAACGCTCCTCGTCAGCGCACTGATGATGCCAATGGGCGGTCCCTTGCACAAGGCCGCTCTCGAAACCCTCGATGCGATACGAGAGAATGGACTATATCGAGGCGCAACACGCGGTCACATGTTGGGTACGGCGTTCTTCCATGAGAACGACGTCAAATACTTCAATCGCATTGTCAATGAGGGAGAAAAAGACATCCGGAATGGGTTTTGGGTCGAAGTTCTGAGGATGATAAGCCAGGGTGCGAGGGAGCGGAAAGCAACCCAACAACGAAAGCGGGCGTCATCCAACGGCGCAATCGCTCCACAGGCGGCTACATCGAGGACTAGAGCAACACAACCCTTGTTTACCCTCACCATCTCGGAAGAGCCGAGCGATCCCAATGCATCTTACGTGACGCTTTCGGAGGACAAGGTCACCTTCAAGACGATCCTTGGAATTGTTTGTAGCGAGCTGAGCACCATAATTTTCGCAGTCGTCATCGGCGTAAAACAGAAAGTGTTCTGGCTAACTGGGCTATTGGCTCTGCCATTGGTCTTGAAACTCATCTCCTTGCTCGTCACGGTCCGTCGCGAGACCTTTCCCCAGGTCAGGAAACCTCCTCCAACTAGCAATGGTACATCAACACTACAGTCCTCCACGACCTTGAGTGGAACGAGCACATCGAATAGCCTGCCGAAGGCTGCACAAACACAAACAGTCGCCGCGCGGCCGGCGCCACCCGAAACACAGATCTACGAAGTCATCCTTCCAAGCTTAGGCTTTACCTTGCTCGTAGGAAAGCCTAACATCATTCTTCCCTTCTTCCGACACTACGGTTACCCTCTTCGTGAAACGCGCTACGACCGGTTCCGTGAGATCTGCTGCCTCGTCTTGATATATCTATTCGTGCTGTATTTTCCTGCTGGACTGATCGCTTTACTTTGGATGCCAGAAGACACTCAGTATATGTGGCTAGGTTATCAGGTATATGCAATCGTATTCATGCATCTGAGCCGATTATTTGGTCTAGGTGGGACTGCGCGTACCGAAGACAGGATCGCGCGGCTGTTGGAAGCCGGCAAGGAAGTGTGCTTACAAAGTGGCGAGGTCAAACTTTGGGCCAAGCTCCAGTGGGACGAGGTCGCGTCAGTAGAGGAAGGCCGCAAGGCCATTAACGCGACAGTAGTGAGCCATTGCCTGGCAGCAAATTACCCGTGCGAGAAGCCTTATCCAAAAGCATGAATGTCCTCAACGCTAAGAATGCGGGGAACGCTAAAGCCGCCACCCAACGGGTGTTGCTCTTATCACCGACACGAAAATACCATCCACTTATCCCACCTTCGATAAGCTCTGCGATGACCATATCGGACGTTGCTCTTATCGTGCCAATGCACGGGATGGCAAGCTTTATCAACTCGCGCAAGGCCTCTTGCGTTACGTTCAGACGCCTTGGAAGCCCGTCTAAATAACATGCCCCGCACCATTCGCGTAGCTGCCGCCCAAGTTGGTGCAGTGCATCGCGATGCTAATCGCGAAACCACATTGAATCGACTGCTTAGTCTGCTATCTCAAGCTGCAACCCAAGGCGCACAGGTTGTGCTCTTTCCAGAATGCACGTTCACAACCTTCTTCCCTCGCCACTTCTTCGCCGATGAGGCGGAACTTGAGTCGTTCTTCGAGCATGGCGACGTCACCACAGCGAAGGAAACACGAGCGATATTCGATAAAGCTAGGGATTTGGAGGTAGATATCTGCATCGGATTCGCAGAAGCCACAGATGAAGGCGATCACTACAACGCGTGCATCTACTACCACGCCAGATCTGGATCCATCCTGTCGAAGTATCGGAAGATTCATCTACCCGGAGATGTCGAGCCTTTTCCAGAACCTGATGCAGTCAATCAGCTTGAGAAGCGATACTTTAAGCCTGGTGACCTGGGCTTCAAGGCCTTTCGAGTACCGGGCTTGACGGATACCACACCTGAGGATGGCGAACCCATCTTCGGAATGATGATCTGCAACGACCGGCGTTGGGCTGAAGCATGGAGATGCCTAGGTCTTCAAGGCGTCGAAGTCGTCCTCGTTGGGTTCAATACACCAGGCTTCGCGCCACAGATGTGGGGTGCTTCACCCGATGTGAGTCCACAAGACGCGCGGGCTGAGGCTATCTTTCATCATAAACTTGTCATGCAGACACATTCATACACAAATGCGTGTTTCTCTATCAGCGCAGCGAGATGCGGGCAGGATGATGGGAAGTTCGACTTGGTAGGCGGTTCGACCATCATTGGTCCTGACGGAAAGATCATGGCCGAAAGCAAAACAGAGGACGACGAGGTTATCGTGGCCGATTGCGATCTCGGTCGATGTACACCGGGCAAATCACGGACGTTTGATTTTGCGAGACACCGACGAACGGAACATTACGGTATATTGACTTCGCAAACAGGAGTCATCGAACCTCCAAGGCTGTCAGCGCAAGTGTCTGCTCCTGACAGCGATGGGATTGTCCTGAACGATTCTCCAAATCGATGCCTGCAATCAGTGACTGGCACCACTGGTACCAGGCAAATTCGCATCCTCCTTTGCAACCCTAACGCCACACCCTCAATGACGCATGCATGTCTCGAGATGGTCAAATCGACACTCACACCCGATGTCACAGTCACTGGTTTCACGGCGCCCAAACCCGCGCCCTCAGCCATCGAAGGGGGCTTTGATGACGTCATGTCTGCGGCAGCAGCCGCCCGAGCCATCATCCCGATCGCACATCAACACGACGCTTTTCTCGTTGCCTGCTACAGCAACCATGCCCTTATAAAGGTGCTTAGAGAAGAGTTGTCGCAACCGGTTGTCGGTATTATGGAGGCCTCGCTGTTTGCTGCGCGAACGCTTGGTGGACGGTTTGGCGTTATTGCTACGTCACGGCGATCCAGGTATACCCTAGAAGAATCCGTGAAGCATTACGGGTTAGATTCATTTTGTATTGGTGTACGAAGCTGCGACTTGGGCGTTTTGGAGTTAGATTCTAAGCCCGAGAAAGAGGTGCTGGGTGTCATGTGCGAGGTGGGTAAGAAGCTCGTCGACGAAGGTGCGGATGTCCTGACACTTGGATGTGCTGGCATGACGAATATGAAAGCTACTGTTGAGGAAGCGGTTGGTAGAGATGTGCAGGTGGTCGATGGTGTTCTGGTCGGCGTGCAGCATCTGGCTGGGCTCAGTAGACTTGGTATGCGAACAGCTAAGAGGGGGATGTACGCTAGTTCTGCAAGTGACAGGGAAAGGAGAGGTCAAAATTGGTACTAAGAATGTTTGTAGGCTCGCTGTTCGTGTTCTAGAATTCGCTGTCGTTGTCGGGCTAGTACGGTCACCAATCGGGGAGACCATTTGTCCTTTGTCCACAAGTACGAGAAGAGATGTGTTGCCAAGCTTCATCGTACATCGCAGGTTCTGAAGTTCCGGAGCCCGACCCTTCCGCGCGTTCGATGTCCGACATTCCTCACCCAATCAGGGGCCACCACGCCTTGTTCCAACTCTTTGTAGCGTCACGGTGCACAAGGATCTCGTACGAAACCAAAATGCTCGCGGTCTGAAATACAATTCATGCGGCGCGGGCCGCAGATCGCAGTCAACCGGACGAGTTTCTTTGATGATGGCGGACATTCTCTATGCTCAGCCTCAGCTCGTTGCCGGGTCCATCAGATGATATATGGACCTGCACGTAGTGGCCCTCACAGTTTCTGTGTAACAGCTCTACTCCAATTTCCCGACCCCTATCTGTACACGTGGATAATTTGAAGCTCCATCTACATATTTCGTCAAAATATTCTTCCTCTGTCAAGAACATCCGCTGGCGACAAACCCTCCGCAAATGATGGCAGCTGCGATGCAAGGCCCTTACGTAGGCGTTGGCCCTTCGAGTAACGATCAGGAACCCGCCATAGAGATGACGAGGACACTCACTGGAAAGACGAGGTACTCAGGGCCCAATGTCTCGCCCTTGGAGATGTTGAAAGCCTTGCTCCCAGCAGCGCTTCTGATAATGGCCGTCCTCTGGATAAACGCGTCTCACATTTACGGCCTATTCCATCATCAAGGAGCTTATGTTCACAGGGCGAAAGTCGCGCTGGCAGACTTTGATGGAAGCGACTTTGGCGAGGCTCTACGAGCAGCAGCAGCATCGAACAATGGGACTTACGGATTTCCTACCTTTGTCAACGTCAACACCACAGGATCGTCCCCTGAGCAGATCCGACATGAGGTCTTCGAGGGGAAATATTGGGCAGCGATCGTTGCGCGACCCGGGGCGACGACTCGATTCAACGATGCCGTAAACGGTACTGCTACACAATACGATTCCAGTAACGTCTATACCTACTATGTACTATCTGCGCGATACTACACGCTCTACGCCTCGACAATACTCACATCGACTATCACCACTACATCAGTCGCATCCAGCATCTTCAACACTGAATACATAACAGCCCGCCTCGCCAGCGGCTCATTTGCCAACAGCACTACTGCACTATCCACTCTTGCGATTCCCGCACGTGCTGTCGAAGCTCAAGCAGGATCTCAAGACTTCGCCGACCTAGACGACAAAGCTTTCATCAATACCCTTGGTACCGTCTTACCCATCCTCATGCAATTCTTCTTCATCATGGCATGGAACGGCATATGCAACGGTATGCACTTGTATGCTGCTTACGACCTGCGTACACACATCCTCGCCCGCCTGTTTTGGAGCACTGTTTGGCCCATATTCACCAGTTTATGTACTGCGGGATGGACTTTTGCATTCCGCGGCTCTTACCATATCGATGCGAAGATGTTCTTTGCTTTCTGGGCTCTAACGTGGGTATTCAGTATGATACAATTCGATGTCCTGGACATCATTACTGGATTCATACCTATGGCATTTGTGCCATTCTTTTTCCTCACTTGGGTCATCTTCAACGTTGCGGCATCGCTTGGGCCAGAGGAAATCCTTCATCACTGGTACAGGATCAGCTACTTCTTTCCATCGCTACATTGGTATAAGACATTTATTACCATCATCACGCAGGGCGGCGTCAACAGGCTATACTACACACTACCTGTGCTCGCTGCTTGGCTAGTCTTGGTGAAGCTTTTGAGTCCGCTGGCTACGAGGAACCGTGTAAGGAGGGCACAGGAGGTGTATAAGTGGTACAATGAAAGGCACGCTATTGGCGGCCCTCACTAAGTGAATGTATAGGGCGGTTGTACTTTATCACACATTTCTTTTGTCTATTGCACTCGGTTCAGCATAGCATACTTTAGACTCTTGTCACTCTACACATTTTGTCCTCGAGGATCTCCTTATCTCAGTTTATAATATACTCTTCTAACCCATCTCCTTCTTGCAGCAGACCCTACCTTCCTTCTTCACTGGTTCGGCGAATCATCTCTAGCTTTTCATAATCTTAAGCATTCCATGACTTCTTCGGAAAGTTCTACATTAGCAGAACTGTAACGTGTTTAAGATATGTAGTTGGTAGCGTTGGGTAGGGTGATAAGTAATACAGGGCATTGAGCGCACCGACATGGCAAGGTGGAACATCACATTCACGGTTAGTCTCTAAGTACCAAGCGCTAGCATCGTACAACGATTGAGTCGCGCCAATCGGGCCGGCTTATGAGGCAGCAGTTATCGTCTGCAACGCTCAACCCTGCGTTACCTACACTGATTTTACAGTATATCGGTTGAGAAAACGAGCAAGTGAGAGACTCTCGAATATACAGGCTGTAATTCTGCTAGAAGAACAGTCGGAAACGCGCTTACCCATCTAGACGCTTCCAATTGCCGAACTTTCTTTCCGCGTTGGAGAGGTGTTCTTAGGCTGTTGATAGACTCGGCCGAACCTTGGAGCGAGACTATTCGCATTCTATGAGAATCATGCCAAGTCCCTGCAGGCTAGTAGCGGAGCGCGTTGTTCTGGTCATTATGCATGACGTCCGTCGGCCTAACCCCGCCCCCGCATGTTGTACGAGCGGTAGGCGCCGCAATTAGTACCGATAAATCCATGTATCTCAACGGTGTATAAAGATTCTTTCAAGCCGAGTTGATATCATCACGAGAGCACCTAGGTGGCTCTACTCCGACAACCATCATGGCATATCTCCTGTACACACAACAGACGGCCGGCGAAAGCTCGCACGGGCGATACTACATCTACGGTGTGGTTGTGCTGCTTGTTTTGATCATCTTCAAGTATGTCTACCAGACCCTGGCTTCTCCTCTTCGAAGTGTGCCCGGCCCCATCCTCGCTCGCTTCACGCGACTCTGGGAAATTCATGCTGTGTGCAAGCACGAGAACTCAACCCACAACATTGCACTACATGAGAAGTATGGTAAGATCACACCAAGATCAATGCTAATAGCGCTGTGAGCAAAATGGCGGTAGGAAAACACGGCTAACATACACAGGTCCTATCGTGCGGCTTGCACCAAATCGGTACAGCATAAATGACGGAGAAGCCGCAAAGATGATTCTCGGACATCATAATGCCATGGATAAATCAAAGTACTATCATCCGTTCGGCCAACCGGATGAGTACAACCTCTTTTCTGAGCCGAGCATATCTGTTCATGCCAAAGTCAGACGTCCACTTGCGCAGCTATATTCGCAAACGAGCCTTCTATCCTATGAGCCTTTCGTCGACACTTGTAATAAGATCTTGTTGCAGAGACTAGAGGAGTATGCACAAGATGGCAAGGCTCTCAATGTGAGAGAGCTCATGCAATACTACGCTTTCGACGTCATTGGCGAAATCACAGTCGGATCGCGATTTGGGTTGATGGAAGACGGTGGTGACAAGTCCGGCATCGTCGAGGCTATCGACGAGAGCATGACCTACGGAGCGGTCATAGGCTTGATTCCTGAATGGCACTGGTGGATCAGTATGACAATGGATACGCTTCGAATCAAACCTAGCTTCAGGAAGCTTCTTGACTTTGTAAACTTCCACCTCGACAATCGCGTCTCAGGGCGTACCAAGTCGCCCGAAGACCGCAAAGACTTCCTCGCCAAGATGCTGCCCATGGAACAGGAAGGCAAGGCGACACGCTTTCATACCCGCCAAGCCGCCTCCCAGAACATCGTAGCGGGGTCAGATACGACCGCCATCTCGCTCTCTGCCGTTTTTGCATACCTGACCATGCACCCAGACACGCTGGCCGCTCTCCGCCACGAACTCGACGAGGCCACAGCAGCTGGCACTCTTTCTGACCCAGCGACCTTCCAAGAAGCCCAAAAGCTTCCCTACCTCCAAGCCGTCATCATGGAAGCCTTACGTGTACACCCTGCCGTCGGTGCACCCCTGACTCGAGTCGTCGGTCCCCAGGGCCTCGTAATCGCAGGTCAATTCTTCCCACCTGGCACCGAAGTCGGCGTTAACGCATGGGCGATTCACAACAACAAGTCAATCTTTGGGCCTGACGCGCACGTTTTCCGTCCCGAGCGCTGGATCACAAAGAACAAAGAGGATCGCGCGTTGCTGGACCGCAACTTCTTGGCTTTTGGCGCGGGGCCACGGACGTGTATTGGCAAGAATATCAGCTTGTTGGAGATGAGCAAAGTCATTCCGCAGATCGTTAGAAAGTACGATTTCGAGATTCTGCCGGATGTGGATGGTAGGAAATACACGTGGAGAACCAGGTGGTTTGCGAAGCCGAGCTTCAATGCTGTTGTCAGGAGACGGATGGAGAAAGCTGCGTGAGGAGGTCAATAGCAGAACTCATTATTGCGTTGACGCTTAGGAAACTCAGCAGCAATCAGTAGATACTATGATGAGAGAAGCTAGACCACTTGTCTCCAGATAGATGCCTTGAGAATGATGCACTCTTCAATCTCAGACTAGAACCACATCTACATACAGGAAAAGACGAGGAGATTGTTTTGCCCTATTCCTGCAGGACATAATTGTTCAGCCAAATTCTGGAGATTGAATGTCCGGAGACATACACTAGTCCCTAGTAACTAGCCACACGGCTCGGCAAAAGAGCTTATTTCCCCGCACCGATGGCCCCGCATGGGGTAGACGACCCAATCATATTCCTCAATTTGCGCATCATGGCGGAAGATTTACGATTGATAGCTCATGGAGATAAGTCGGGTAAACCACCGACATACATCTAAACCAATCGCCAACAAGTCGGCAGAATGACCGTCATAGACACGCTTGAGCATTCACCACGAACTATAATAGTACATGTAGAGAGAGGAACGACTCTACGGATATTCTTTCCTTGCTCTTTGTCATACACAGTACATCGTTCGCCATGCGACCTGGTGTATATCAGTTCCTCGTGGGGTGCTTTGCATCACTGGGCTCCTTCCTCTTTGGATACGATCTAGCCGTGATTGCAGAAGTCGTAGCATCCGACTCTTTCAAGTCTCTCTTCTTGCAACAAAACTCCGATTCTCGTTCCGGCACCGTCGTTGCGCTATTCACTGCAGGATGCTTCTTTGGCGCTTTTGGAGCAGGTTTTACCGATAAGCTCGGTAGACGAGGTACCATTCTGATGGCTTCGTGCATCTTCGTTGTGGGCGGTATTGTTCAGACTGCTGGCGTTGTCATAGGCATGTTGTATGCTGGAAGATTTATCGCTGGTTTTGGTGTCGGGTTTTTGACCATGATTATTCCAATCTACCAAGCAGAGATTACTCACCGTCGTATTCGTGGCAAGGTTACTAGTCTCCAGCAACTCTTCAATGCCGTGGGGCAGATATTTGCCAGCTGGACGGGCTATGGCTGTTACCTCACATGGGCGGGAACAGGTGACAGCCGTGAGTGGCGCATACCGCTCGCCGTGCAGATCATTCCCGCTCTTTTCCTGGGTAGCTTGATCTACATGTTTCCTGAGGTTTGTTTACGGTCAGATACTCAATTACGAGAACAGTGCGCTGACGATACGGTAGAGTCCACGGTGGCTGTGCGATCACGATCGAGCTGATGAGGGTCTTCGCAACCTCGCCCTTCTTCATGCTCACGGCGATATTTCAGATCCGTATGTGGTAGCCGAGTTCGATCTCATCCAAGCACAGATTCAGGCGGAGCATTTGGAGAAGAAAAAGACTTACTTCGACCTTGTCCGCGACTGGCCGAACCTCAGGCGAACAATGCTTGCATGCTTTATCCAAGCTGAATGTCAAATGACGGGAGTCAGCGCGATCCAATACTTTTCACCTCAAATCTACGCACAAATCGGCATCTCAACGTCTCAATCTTTGCTGTTCAATGGAGTCAACGCCATCATCGCTTTCGCCGGCACATCTGTATGCATTCTCGCCATAGACCGAATTGGACGACGGCCACTTGAGATCTTCGGAGCGGGTCTCATGTGCATCACATTCTTGGTCAACGCCATTCTCATCCAACAGTTCCCAGCATCAGCTACCAACAATGGAGCTCATTGGGGTTTTGTTGCTTTGACATGGGTATTCAATTTTGTCTTCTTCGTCACATCCGGCCCGCTGTCATGGGCAATTCCTGCCGAGCTCTTCGGAACTGCGCTGCGCATGAAAGGTGTGAGCGTTGGCGCAATGACAAGTTTTGCTTTCAACACCATGATAGGACAAGTCACGCCTATTGCCATCAGCGCGATCGGATGGAAATACTATATCGTCTTCATTGTCTGCAATTTTGTCAATGGCATTGTTTTCTGGGCATTCCTGCCAGAAACCAAAGGACTTAGCCTCGAAGACATGGATGAAATGTTCTACAACAGTCCGACTTTCGCTCCCGGCAGCAAATGGGTACCACACTCTCATCTAGACGAAGATGCTCATAGGATAGCCAATGGCGAAGATTACGTGGATGGTCTGGGTACGGCAAAATACAAGGCCACTGAGGTAGAGCATATCGAAGGCGGTGCCTGATGCGGAACCAGGAGATACGGTCTGCATGCCAGAGGTCTTTGTAGGTAGATGCGACATAGATGTAAGGGGCGTGCAGTCGCGCTCTTGTGGCATGCAGGTCTTATGTGTTCCATGTTACATTATACAAAGATACAGGGTTATTGAATCTATAACATGTCATGTGACATAAGCGAAAGAGATCCTCATGTCTTAGTAATACAGTGACGTAGGATTTTGTACACGAAGTGGAGAGCTTCGTCACCTCTAGGCTGCCACTAACACATCCATCTGCATCTCAGATCATGGATGAGCCACTAAGTCGAGCGCAATACTCAGCCACCATACGAAAGACTACACGATGTTCAGGATGCCTCGACATGGACCCGGCAATATTCGATTGGAGAGCAGTCGAATGGTCGAGCATCTATCCAAAGCTTGATCCTCAGCTGATCATGCATGGTTTGCAGAACCAGTGCACGTCATGCACGATGATCAAAGAAGCCTTGCATAGCGTCGGTCTCGATTTAGACATGACGCATAACAAACAGAATCTTGTGATGGATCTCTTTCACATGAGCCAAGATGGCAGTCTTCGAGTGTCCGCTCACTCAAACTATCGCGAAGGATATAGATTAGCGGAGCTTTATACCGTTTTTGGTGAGTCATTACTCGCTTTGTTGATGGCCGATGAGCTATGCATCATGTATCCCGTTACAGAATCTTGCCACTATGCAACTGACTGATGATATTGAGCAGAGGATCCATCTTCGCCATGGAGCATAGTGCGTCCCAAGACACATTTATTGGGTAACACGGCATTGGAGCTCAGCTCTCATCAAATCCAGCGGTGGATGAATGACTGCATTCTTGGCCACGAACAATGTTCCAATCAAAGCAAAGCCACACTACCTACACGAGTACTCGATCTAGGAAATACAAATGAATCCATCAGGCTAATAGAAACTCATGGGTTGGCAGGCCCATACATCTGCCTCAGTCACTGTTGGGGAGGTCACTCGACCATTTTGTGTACGAGGGAAACCTATGCCGGCTATCAAGACAACGTGCCTTGGGATACCCTACCCCTGTTGTTTCAGGATACAGTGAAGGTATGCCGCATGCTTGATGTACGATATCTATGGATCGACAAGCTTTGCATCATTCAACACGATGCAGATGACTGGGCGAGGGAAGGATCCAAGATGGCGCAAGTGTTCGAGAACTCTCTGCTCACAATTGGAGCAGCCATCTCCAAAGGTGACACAGATTCACTGTTTTTCGAAGACAAGAAGCGCATTGCCAGCTTGAGAAGCCATGTCGGTCGGATGAAGGACGGAGCGACCTATACCATCTATTCCAGGCTTTCTCATCGCTACCATCCAGCCAATGCATCTACATCGGGGAACATCAGCGAAAATTACCCCCTCATGTCACGAGCCTGGGTTTATCAAGAGAGATTGCTAGCACCACGCATCTTGTACTTTGGTGAAGAGTTGAGCTGGGAATGTCGACAAGCTTCAGCCTGTGAGTGTTCGGAAGCAAGTCAGGGCATAAAGTTTGATCACAGTTCGTCCCTTCTACCTGGATGTTCTACACAGAAACTTCACCTGCATTGGCAAGATATTGTCCAAGATTTCACGTCGCTCCAGCTCAGTCATGAAGAAGACCGTCTGCCAGCCATCTCAGGTCTTGCGCAGCAGTATCAACGCCGTCTGAAGAGTGCATATTTGGCCGGTCTTTGGAAAGACAATATCGTGGTTGATTTGCTTTGGCATGCTTTCCCTGAGGATGGCAGCGGAGTGGAACGATATAAGACCAAGAAACCGAAGAAGTGGCGCGCCCCATCTTGGTCATGGGCATCGATTGAGGGTCCAGTCCTATTCGACAGATCCTACCACGTTGCGGCATCGGAAGCGAATACAGAGAGCATGAGACATTGGGTTGAGATTATCTCTGCTGAGTGTACACCGTCATCACTCGATCCAACAGGTACAGTTGCAGCCGGGCGTATCGTGATAAAAGGTAGCGCGCGGCTTGCCCGCCTCAAGCATGCGGAGGACTGTATAGGGCATGATACCCGACACTTCTCGGTCACACATACAGGTCTAGATTCTGTTACTCTTCGATCAAACTTCACTGTCGATGGGAAGCAAGCTAATGTTGACTACGATCTTATCGCACAAGGATTGATGGAGGCGAATTCCGACATGAGCATATATCGCTTATACATAGGTGGCATGTCCCGTACTCGGCGTATCTTCAAGCCTTCTGAAGGAGACTACATCTCAACCTCGTTCTTTAGGACGTGGAGCCTCCTATTGCACTGCGTCAATGGCAGCGTTTTTGAAAGAGTAGGACTTCTAGTATCTGACCATTACAATGGCGATGAAACGAGCATTCGGAATAGCTTAGAGGAGTGCATGATCACAATCATTTGATAGCGTACGTAGAAGAACGATTCTAACTATCGGTCAAGGTAGGCCATGCGTTAATTTGATCGACGTGCTCGTGATAAGATGCAGGCACAGTACTATTGAGTTACACTGTATTGTATCGCAGTAGACGCGTGATCCCAAAGATTTGCTTCACTAAATGCAGCTGTATGTAAGATTAACCACGTGTCTCATCATTCAACGGAAGTAGGTTGGCGCCGTAGCCTTCGCAGCCATCCAAGCCTCATCCAGCGCCTTCACAACATCATCAGGGAGCGGACCCTTTTCCAAATCTGCAAGGTTCCCTTCCAATTGCTTCAAGCTGCTGACGCCAATAATGACGCCGTCGTTACCGCCTTTAACCCGAGTCTTCAATTCGGAGTGGTGAACGCACCATCGCAGCGCGATCTCGAGCAAGGTCAGATTA